CCCCCTTTTGATCTTCTTCCTTCTCCTCCTCAACTTCTTCTTCCTCCTGTTCCACCTCCTCCTCCTTCTCTTCATCGACTTCTTTTATATCTTCCTCCTCCTTCTACTCGTCCTCCTCCTCCTCCTCGTTTTTTTTAAATCATTATTCTATAGCTTCATCTTCCTCCTTCTCTCCTCTTCCTCCTTTCCGTTTTCCCCTTCCTTCTCCTCTCGTCTCATTTTCTTCTTCTCCTAAATCTTCCTCTCCTCCTTCTCCTCCTTTTCTCCTTTCCGTTCCACCTCCTCCTCCTCCTCCTTGTCTCATTTTTCTTCTTCTCCTAAATCTTCCTCTTCCTCCTTTAATTCTTCTATATCTTCTTCCTCATTCTCCTCCTCCCTCCTTTCCTCCTTCCGTTCACCTCCTCCTCCTCCTCTCCTCCTCCTCCTGCCTTTTCCTCCTCTCCTCTCCGTTCCACCTCCTCTCCTCCTTCGTTCACCTCTCCCTTCTCCCTTCCATCCACCTCCTCTCCTCTTCCTCCCTTCCTTCCACCTCTCCTCCTCTCTTCTCCTTCGTTCCTCCTCCCCCTCCTCCTTCTCTCCTCCTTCCGTCCTCTCCTCCTTTCTTCTCCCTTCTATCCACCTCTCTCCTCTCCTCCTCCTCCTCCTCCTCCTTCTCTTCCCTCCCGTTCCGTTCCACCTCCTCCTCCTCCTCTTCCTCCCTTCCGTCCCACCTCCACTTCCTCTTCCTCCCTTCCGTTCCACCTCCTCCTTCTCTTCTTCTTCATCTCCCTCCTCCTCTTCTCTTCCCCCTTCCGTCCACCTCCTCTCTCTTTCTCCCTTCCGTCCACCCACCACCTCCTTCTCTTCCTCCTTCCTATCCACCTCTTCCTCCCCGTCCCTCCTCCTCCTCTTCCTCCCTTCCGTCCCACTTCCACCTCCTTCTCTTCCTCCCTTCCGTTCCACCCCTCCTTCCTCCTCTTCCTCCCTTCCACGTCTCACCTCCTCCTTCTTCCTCCCTCCTCTTCGTTCCACCTCCACCTCCTTCCTTCCTCCCTTCCTATCCACCTCCTCCTCCTCTCCTTCCTCCTCCTCCTCTTCCTCCCTTCCGTCCACCTCACCTCCTTCTCTTCCTCCTTCCGTTCCACCTCCTTCTCTCCTCTTCTCCTCCTCCTCCTCCTTCTTCTTCCTTCCGTCCCACTCCTCCTACTTCTCTTCCTCCTCCTCCCATTCCGTCCACCTCCCCCCACCTCTTCCTCTTCCTCCCTTCCGTTCCTCCTCCTCCTCTCCTCCTCTCTCCCTTCCGTCCCACCTCCTCCTCCTTCCTCCTCCTCCTCTTTCCTCCTTCTTCCACCCTCTTCCTCCTTCCGTCCACCTCTTCCTCCTCCTTCCTCCTCCTCTTTCCACCTCCTTCCTCCCACCTCCTCTTCTTCCTCTTCCCTCCCTCCTCTTCCTCCACCTCCTCCTCCTCCTCCTCCACCTTCTCCTTTCTTCCTCCTCCTCCTCTCCCTTCCGTCCCACCTCCACCATCTCTTCTCTCCTCCATCTTCCCCTTCCGTCCCACCTCCTCCTCTCCTCCACCTTCTCTCTCCTCCACCTCCTCCTTCCTTCCTCCTCCTCTTCTTCCCCTTCCGTCCCACCTCCTTCCTCTCTCCTCCACCTTCTTTTTCCTTCCTCCTCCGTTCCCTCTCCTCCTCTTCCTCCTTCCTATCTCTCCTCTCTTTCTTTTCTCCTTCTTCCTTCTCCTTCTCTCCTCCCTTCCGTCCACCTCCAACCCCTCCCCACTTACCTTGGCGGCCTGTGAAGAATAGGGCTCGTCGAACAGCGACCATAACTTGGGCTTCGTGTTCTGCCACCAGGAGAGGTTCCCGGAGAAGTAGTCGTCTTCGAAGCCGAATTTCCTTGCCGTCTCCTCGTCGCTGGGTTTATCGGTGTCGAGGTCGAGGCGGTCGAGGACAGCCAGGGTCTCCTGGGTGTCTCGATGCTGGAAGAGAGGTTGGGGCGTTAGGGGGTCGAGTTCGTTGAGGGTCTTTTGTTTGTGTTTTTTGTTTTGGTTTTGGTTATGTTGAAGGGAGTTTTGAGTCGAGTTTCTGGAGACTATTTTTGTTTTGTTTGGTTATGTTGAAGGGAGTTTCGAGTCGAGTTTCTGGTGAATCTTTTGTTTAGCTATTTTTTGCTTGTTTGTTTATTCATATTAAAGGAAGTTTCGGGTCGTTTCTAGAGAATTATTCATCTATTTTGTGTTATTTTTTTTATTTATATTAAAGGGTTTCCGGTCGTTTCTAGAGCTTTGTTTGCTTAGGGTCGATTTTTAGAGCTATAGTCTACAGAGTCTATAGGTCGAGGTTTTAGAGTTCTTTTTCTAGAGGGTTTTTAGAACTCAATGTGGGTTTTGGGTCGAGCTTCTAGTTTTTAAAAAACTATTTCTAGAATTTATTTATTAATTTTTTATTTTTTTTTATTTTTTTTTTTAGAGCTTGATGGGGGTTTAAAGTCGCGGTTTTAGAGCTTTTTTAATAGGTTTTCTAGAGCCTGATGTAGGTTTATAGGGGTTATAGGGCCTATTTTTAGAACCTGGCGTGGTTTTACACCCCAAATTTAGGTCTTAATGGGTTTTAATATCAAATTTAGGCCTTGGTTGGTGTGTCTGAAGTCTAGTTTGTATATATGTATATATATGTATATTCGAATGATAACACATACACATCCAAACACATACATACAAAATCACACGTCAAAACACACATATTCACTTATACATATACGAAAAAACTCACACAAACATTCACATACACGCATGCCAAAAAAAAAAAAAAAAAAAAAAAAACAGACACGGTTACACACGTAGACTTACAAACACACACACACACACACACACACACACACACACACACACACACACACACACAAACTCTGTCAATTCCCTTGCCTTCTTTTACGACACCATATTCCTATTATTAAGCCTATTAAAAACAATTTAACGTTCCTTCTCTTTCTCTCTGCCGAAATTACTCATAATTCCATCATACTCATTTTTACTCACCTTACGAATTGCCCAATTTAATAGCCTTTCTCCCTCCATCAAAAAAGAAAAAAAAGAAAAGGAAAAAGAAAAAGAAAAAAAGTGAAAAAGATTTAATCGATTTAATCTCTTTGTTCCCCCTTCTCAAAAAAAAAAAAAAAAAAAAAAAGTTGATTAATTTTCCATGCCTTTCTAAATCTTTCACTTGTTTCTTTTTATTCTTTATCAACGCTTGCCTATTTTACCATTCCATCTTCCACCAATTTTTCTCTCTAACCTATTTCAAAAATTGTTTTATATTTTCTTTTCTTTTTTTTGGCTACGTTCCCCATCTACCTTTCATATTCATTCATTCTCTTTTTCTCTTTCCTTCTCCTCTTCTTCCATTAGCGCTTCCAACCCTTTTCGCTTTTTTACTCTCTCCCTATTCCTTCTTTCCATGCCATTTCGGATTGGTTATATTACGTTATATTAATCTAATCACTTATTGATTAATTTCTTTGTCATCTTTTATTTCTCATTTATCATTATAATTACTATTATTGTCATTAACAACAACAACAATGACGACAGCAATATTACTTCTACTACTGCTACTACTAACAATAATAATAACAACAAATGCAATAACAATAATAACAAAAAAATAACTAAAAGATAACAAAACAACAGTTAAAATAACAACAATAATAACTAAAACAATAACAACAAAAATAACAACACTAATAACTAAAACAATGACAACAATAATAATAATAACTAAAACAATAACAAAACAATAAAATAAAATAATAACAAACAAAAACAACAATAAAAATAACAAACAATAACAAAACAACAATAAAAATAACAAACAACAAAAATAACAAAAACAAAATACAAAAATAAAAAAACAACAACAATATAACAAGAATAACAACAACAAACCGGAAAAATGATTCAGTGACAAAATACTGGTCTTGGTGATTCGACGCTTTGTAAACAGAGCCAGTGAGTCGTCTTTGGTGCTTTTAAAATTTTCTTTAATATATTTTTTTTTTTTTTTTCGTTTTATTATTATTATTGTTATTATTATTATTATTATTATTATTATTATTATTATTATTATTATTATTATTATTATTATTATTACTATTACTATTATTATTTTTGGTGAAGCTACAGGTTGCGTGGGCATTTTTTTTCATTTTTTTTATATCATTGTTATTGTTATTGTTATTGTTTTGTTGTTGTTATTATTATTGTATTATCAACAAACAAACAGCTGAAAAATGATTCAGTGACAAAATATTGGTCTTTATGATTCGATCCTTTGTAAACATAGCCAGTGAGTCGTCTTTGTGAAGCTATTTTATTTTCTAATTATTTTTTTTTTGTTTTCATATATAAAATAATAATGATAATAATTATTATTATCGTTATTATTTTGGTATTTTTTTTTTCATTTGTTTTCTTTTATATCATTGTTATTGTTATTGTTACTGTTTGTTGTTGTTATTATTATCAGCAACAAACAGCTGAAAAATGGTTCTTTGACAAAATATTGGTCTTAGTGATTCGATCCTTTGTAAACAGAGCCAGTGAGTCGTCTTTGGTGAAGCTAATTTATTTTTTTTTTTAATTTCATCATTATTATTATTATTACTATTATTATTATTATTATTATTATTATTATTATTATTATTATTATCATTATTATCATTATCATTATTATTATTATTATTTTTTTTTTTTGTGAAGCGTGGGAACTTTTAAAATTTTTATTTTTGATATTATTGGTTATTGTTACTGTTGTTGTTATTGTTATTGTCATTGTGGTTGTTTGTTCATGTTATGATTAATTTTATTTTCTATTTCTTATTTTTTATGTCATTGTTATTGTTATTGTTACTGTTTGTTGTTGTTATTGCTATTGTCATTGTGGTTGTTTGTTCATGTTATGATTAATTTTATTTTTTATTTCTTATTTTTTATGTCATTGTTATTGTTATTGTTACTGTTTGTTGTTGTTCTGATTCTATTGATTTTCTTATCACTGTAGTCATCATTATCATCATGATCATTATCAATCTTTAAAATTAGTTATTATGATTACCGTTATTATTCTCATTATTAGTAGTAATATAATTCCTATCATTATTATCATCATTATTATCATCATCATTACCATCATCAATATATCATCATAATCATCATTAATACTACTATCATTATTACTATCATCATTAATATCATCATCATAATTACTATTATTACTACTACAACTACTGCCATTATTACTAACAAATCTAATTAATACCTGTTATTCGTATCGTTTTATTGTCATTCCCATCATCATAATTAATAACAGTAGTTATAGTACTAAAACTACTGCTACTACTATAACCATAACGAATATTTTCAATATCATGATCACTATCGAAACTACAACAGAAACTACAACATAATCTATAACACAAACTACAACAAAATCTTCAACTCAAACTACGACCTAAACTACAACTCAAACTACAACATAATCTACAAATCAAACTACAACACGATCCACAACTGAAGCTACAACATAAACTACAACTCAAACTACGACCTAAACTACAACTCAAACTACTGCATAAACTACAACATAAACTACAACACAATCTACAATTCAAACTAGGGCATAAACTACAACTCAAACTAGAACTCAAACTACAACATACAAACTACAACATAAACTACATCACAATCTACAACTCAAACTAGAACATAAACTACAAATCAAACTACAACTCAAATTATTGAATAAACTACAGCATAATCTACAACTCAAACTACGACCTAAACTACAGCTCAAACTACAACATAAACTACAACTCAAACTACAACACAATCTACAACTCGAACTAGGACATAAACTACAACTCAAATTACATCAACATAAACTACAACATAATCTACAACTCAAACTACTGCATAAACTACAACACAACTACAACTCAAATATGAACACTGCAACGTGTACCAATAGACAGAATTAAAAGTCTTAAACAACTATACCAGGACGGAATAAAAGGTCAATCAAAGCTATTATTATCATTATCATTATTATCATTATCACTCTCATTATAATTATTTTTGTCATTATTATTATCATTATGATAATGATAATATCATTATCATTATTATTCTTAGTATTGCTATCATAATAATAATAATTATTATAATTTTATTGTTATTAGTATTACTATCATTAATATTATTATCATTATCATTACTATTATTATTACTATCATCATTATCATTGTCTGTCTCATTATCATTATTATTATCATCATTATCAGGTGAGGAAAAAGAATTAAAACGAAGGAGATAAAAAGAAAGAAATGAAAGGGAAAAGTAGAAAATGAAAAAAAAATCGAAGAATGAAAAGGATAAAAAAGCAGTAGAGGAAGAAATGACGAAAAAAATAAAAGACGATAAGAGAGAAAGAGAGAGAGAGAGAGAGAGAGAGAGAGAGAGAGAGAGAGAGAGAGAGAGAGAGAGAGAGAGAGAGAGAGAGAGAGAGAGAGAGAGAGAGAGAGAGAGAGAGAGAAGAAATAGGGAAAGTCAAATTAAGAAAGGGTAAGGGTTACGAAGCAGTTTTATATTTGGCTATTTTGATCATGTCCAAAAAAGGAAAATATGGTAATTCAGGAAATATGATAATATGATAATTCAGATTTTGAAAGAGAAAAAAATGATAAAAAAGAAAGACCTTCCCAAAAAGTCATAAAATGAAAAGGGAAAAACTGCAGAATAACAATAATAATAAAAATATGATGAACGAATATCAACTGAGAGAGAGAGAGAGAGAGAGAGAGAGAGAGAGAGAGAGAGAGAGAGAGAGAGAGAGAGAGAGAGAGAGAGAGAGAGAGAGAGAGAGAGAGAGAGAGAGAGAGAGAGAGAGAGAGATCAAACAGAAAAGAAAGGAAAAAAAAAAAAAAGAAATAGGTAGGAAATAAACAAACAAAGAGAAGAACAGACGAAAGAGAAATAGGTGAAGAAAAAAAATAAGAAAAAAAAAGAAAGAAAGAAAAACAAAAAAAATCCCCTTCAAGAGATAACAGACACAACAGAGATAAGAAAAGATAAGATAAGATAAGACAAGAAAGAACAACCCCGCTCGAGCCTTACCGCCGTGTAGGTCATCCAGCAACATGGCTCCACTTGGTTCGAGTCGAGACCCCAGAACTCGAGCTCCTCCTCGAAGAGCGGTCCGCACACGTCCGTCGGGTAGTGGAGCTTCCCTGTGCGGTAGTAGTTCAGCACCTGAGGAGGAGGGGGACGGGTGAGCAGATGGGGGGCGTGGCGAGTGTGGCGAGAGGTGGGAGGAGGTGGGAGTGTGGGAGGGTGTGGGTGGTAGGAGAGTGGCGGGTGGTAGGAGAGGGTGGGAGAGGGAGCTTCCCTGTGCGGTAGTAGTTCAGCACCTGAGGAGGAGGGGGGACAGGTGAGCAGATGGGGGGCGTGGCGAGTGTGGCGAGAGGTGGGAGGGAGTGTGGGAGGGAGGTGGGAGGGTGTGGGTGGTAGGAGAGTGGCGGGTGGTAGGAGAGGGTGGGAGAGGGAGCTTCCCTGTGCGGTAGTAGTTCAGCACCTGAGGAGGAGGGGAACAGGGTGAGCAGATGGGGGGGCGTGGCGGAGTGTGGCGAGAGTGGGGGGGGGCAGGAGGGAAGGTAGGAGGGTGTGGGAGGGTGGGGGGACAGGTGGGAGTGGGTGTGGCGGAGGTGGGAGGTGGGGTGTGGCGAGAGGTGGGAGGGTGGGTGTGGCGAGAGGTGCGAGGGTGGGGGGGACAGGGGAGGGGTGTGGATGGTAGGAGAGGGGTGGGCGAGGGAGCTGTGCGGTAGTAGTTCAGCACCTGAGGAGGAGGGGACAGGTGGAGCAGATGGGGGGACGTGGCGAGGAGGTGGGGAGGGGCGTGGCGAGAGGTGGGGAGGGTGGGGGAGGGGAGGGAGGGGGGACAAGTGATCAGAGGGTGGACAGGTGGGCAGAAGGGGGGGGGGGGCGTGGCGAGAGGTGGGAGGGGGTGTAGGAGGGGTGTGGGTGTTAGGAGAGGGCGAGTAGGTAATACTGTGGGTAGATTCAGCACCTGAAGAAGAGGGGACAGGTGAGAAGATGGGCGTGACGAGAGGTGGGAGAGGGAGGGAAGTGGGTGGTATGAGAGAGTAAGAGATGGGAGAGGGACAGGAGGTGGGAGAGGGGACAAGTGGGGATAATGTGGATAGCATTGAATACTGGTATCATAGGTGGTATATGTAGGTATTATTTCAGCCCTGAGGAAAAAGACAAATAGTGAGGCAGAGGGAGGGGAGGGGAGAGATCGGGAGGGGGGTGTTGGGATGGAGAGGGGGGGGGGAGATCGGGGGGGGTGTTGGGAGTGGGAGGGGGGGGTTGATTCGGGGGGGGGTGTCGGGAGTAGGGAGGGGGGGATTGATCGGGAGGGGGTGTTGGGAGTGGGAGTGGGTGTACCTCTGTAGGTGGTATATGTGGCTAATTGTTCAGTTTTGATATTATGGATTGGTAATAAGTGGGTAGTATTTCAGGGCCGAGATAAGAAGGGGAAACAAATGGGATATTAACAATAACACACTATTTATTATTTTTTATCTTTAATACTTCTTCCTCTTCCTTTTTTCTCCTTTATATTCCTCCTTCCTGCATCCTTCTTCCCGCCCCTATTTCTTTCCTATCCTCTTTATATTTTTCCCTATTCCTTTTCTATCTCATCCTTATGCTGCCCTTCCTTTTCCCTTTCCTTTTCCCTCTTTCTGTCCATACTCCTTCCTTATTTCCTTCCTTCCTCCTCTCTCCTTCTACTACCTATTTACTCCTTCTTCCCACCCCCTTCACCTTTAATTCAATTCTCTCTCTCTTCTTTCTTTCTTCCTCCTTCCCTTTTTCCTCGCTCCTTCCTCCTTCCCTCCTCGTTCCTTCCTCCCTCCTCCCATCTCTCATTCCCCTTTCCTCCCTCCCTCTTACTCCTCCTCTCCTCCCATCCTTCCTCCCTCCCTCCTCTTTCTCCTTTTCATCTCTCCTTCTCTTTCTCCTCCTCCCCCTTTTTCTCCTTCAAGCCTCCTTCCCTCCTTCTCTCCTCCCATCCTCCCATCCTTCTTCTCCTCCTCCTCCCCTCCCTCCCTCTTTCTTCCTCCTCCTCCTTTCCTCTTTCTCCTCCTCCTCCCCTCCCTCCCACTTCCTCCTCTCCCTCCTCCGTCCTCCCCAAACCCTCCTCCTCCTCCTCCTCCCACCCTCCTCCCTCCCCCTCCTCTTCCTCCCTCCCCTCCTCCACCTGGGCAAAAAAAAACCCTGGATGCCGATCAAGAAGTACTCTCGTTGAGAATTGGGTCATAGTTGGCCAGGGCCTCCGTCAACCGCGAGAGGCGTGTGGCCGGGATCTTCTTCAGTGTCGCCTGCAGGAGGAGAGAGAGATAAATCAAGTTTTTTTTTCTTATTATTATTATCATCTATTACTATATTTTTTTTCTGCAGGAGAGAGAGAGAGAACTGAAAAAATTAAGATTGTATTTATTATTTTCTATTATTATTATTATTATTATTATTTTGCAGAGAGAGAGAGAGAGAGAGAGAGAGAGAGAGAGAGAGAGAGAGAGAGAGAGAGAGAGAGAGAGAGAGAGAGAGAGAGAGAGAGAGAGAGAGAGAGAGAGAGAGAGAGAGAGAGAGAGAGAGAGAGAGAGAAGAGAGAGAGAGAAGAGAGAGAGAGAGAGAGAGAGAGAGAGAGAGAGAGAGAGAGAGAGAGAAAGAGAGAGAGAAGCGAGAGAGAAGAGACAGAGAAGGATTTAGTTAGGATTTTTATTTTAATTTTATATTATTATATATTTTAGAAGGTTTGCGTAGAGAGAGAGAAGAGGGTGTTAGGTTTTGCTAGAAGGTTTTTTTTGTTAGCTCAGGATGTTTTGTTAGAAGACTTGCCTAGAGAGAGAAGAGGATATAGTTAGAAGGTTTTGTTAGAAGAGAGTTTTGATAGAAGGTTTG